TACTGAAAAACATTTAAATCTGTGTTTATTTTACAACTTTAGCTTTAAAAGTTCTTTTTTTTGTCTTTGTCTTCAGAGAAAATGGCACCACATGATCAGTCCACACCCCCCTCCCCAGGACTGGACCCAGAGGAGATCCGTTTGAGGAAGATGAACCGCAGGGCAAAGGTCATTCAGGAGCTTGAGCAGACTGAAAAAGACTACCTCACAGACCTGGAGCTGTGCATCAGAGAGGTGGTCCAGCCCCTACGAAGCATGCAGGTAGATTTTTTTTTAAATGATTGCTTTACTTAGATAAACTAATTTAGTAAAATCCAAAGTTAATACTAGCTATCTGCTCAGGCTGTCGCTTATCTAGTACAGCTTGAACAACTTTACAATATAAATCTTACCTTGACCTTGACAATATATAATTTCCACTATTAACCCTATGTATGACAGTAACATTGGTCCACACATCTAACATCTGAATTGCACTTTAGGGACATTTTTTTAATATGGAGTCTGGAATCGACACCAGAACAGCCAAATAAAGTGTGACCTGTATGTTCGAAATGATTAACCAGAGTTAATTTTTTTACAGCAAATAAATAAATTGAATTGACATTTGGAGACCTTTAATCTTTTCAGTTGGTCAAATTCATATATTTCACTATAGTTTCTTTATATTGTTTTAGCTTGTAGATGTAGATCGGCTGTTCACCAACATGGAGACTCTGTGTGAGGTATCTGCAGCACTCCTGCACAGACTGCACGAGGCCATGGCTGACCCTGATCCAGAGGCAGTTGTCATAGGTAATCCATTTTGACTGTAGTTATTTGTTGACTTATTTTGCTCTAGGTAATTTTAGACGAACAACCTAATGACCCATTTTTATTTGAAGGAGAAGTATTCATCCAGGCGAAGGCAGCTTTAGAAGATGTATATAAGATTTACTGTTACCATCATGATGACGCCAACATGTCACTCAAATCCTACGAGAAAGAGGACGACATAAAGCAACATTTCACCACATGCATTTTAGCACTGAAGTAAGTCAAGATATGTCTTCCAAGCAATAGGCACATCATTTAAATTGTGTAACTTCTGATATTCTTTGGTGGTAATTCTATTTCTTTGTCTTTGTAATTGCAGGAAAATCTATGACCAAGAGTAAGTACCCTTTAATGAAAAACTGATATTGGCATTTAAAATGTACTCAATTCTGCACTGGATATACTGTCACAAGTACATCTTGATTATTGTGTTGCTTTAGCAGTTGTGGTTATGTTTCATTTATCACACTTTGTTTTCTTTTCTGAATCTCTGTTCTGGAGGTCACAATGGCTTATGCTGATCTATGTTTATTTTTCACAGAGGGAAGCCCAACTTGCTGGACATGGGTTCATTACTCATCAAACCTGTTCAGAGGATTATGAAGTACCCGTTGCTGCTTGGGGAGCTGTGGCAGGCCACACCTGAGAACCACCCTGACTATCAGCCGCTCCAGGAGGCATTCACCGCCACCAAGATCATGAATGTTAACATCAATGAGTTCAAGCGGCGCAAGGATATAGGTGAGATTTTTTATTGTTATATTTTTTTTTTCAAATGTACAGTTTTGTTTGCTGTGAAATGTATTACTCACTTATCAACTGATAACTGCTAATTTATCTGCTATTCTGTCTGTTCCATGTCTTTTCACCTTAATTCTGTCATTTCTAATCTCAGTTATGAAGTATAAGAGGGTGGAAGATGAAGGCACACTGAGGGGCAAACTACACAAGTTTAACATGCATTCTATCCGTAAGAAAGGGGACAGGTTTGCCGGCTATCTCAAAATCCTCACTGGAGTTGAACCACAAGTAAGATACAGTGAACATTTTTAGACTTCATTCCACCCTTCCTCTAAATACAATAAAACAAGTTAATGGAATAAGCATTATGAGTTTTCTTGATCAAGTGTATATTACATAAAGTGTACATAAGAATCGGTGCATTTGTATAGCAGTTGGTGGGATTTGCAAGTGCAGAAACTCCAGATTTAGAGTAAGGAAAAGGCTTTCTACATTTGTAATTTGTTCATTTGTAGGTGAGAGATGAAGTCTTTGATAGAGAGGAGAAAGTGTTCAGGAGTCTGGAGAAGGCTGTGAGGCAGCTAATCAGAAATGTTCAGTGTTACCTGCAGCACACTCAGGTAGGTATATATGGTATAAGCAAATCAAAATGGGCATGGGTTAATGTTATTTTAATGCTAATATTTTATCAACATTCTGGGGTTTTTTTCTTAATATATTTTCTGCAGGATATGGTGTATGTAGCTGTCGAGAATGCCCAGGACTTGGAAAACATTATCAAGGGTCCAAACGAAAATGGCACAAACTGCTCATTGCCCAGTAATGGAAGCGACCCCTATATGCACTTTGTAAGTATGACTTTTGTTTTACTTCACAACAAAAATGGTATCACTTTTATTCAGGGCACAGGTTACTTTGCTTTTGTCCAGCTTTCCCTCTTCCCTCTATTCATGTTCTGCCACCTCACTGACTTCTTCCTCCAGAAAGACAATATGGAACTCCTGGTCCTTGCCCCCCTCTTATCCCTGCACAGCATGTTCACAGGCCCACAGAAGCTCATTCAGAAACGTTATGACAAACTGCTGGATTACTGCAGCCACCTGGAGCGTTCGTCCTCTTTTACACCCTCATCCACTTCATCCACCACTTCTTCGTCTGCTTCACTGGTGTCAGAAGACCCACCCGGTCCTGCCAGGAGGGACTATGAAGCCCTCAATGCCTTGCTAGTGGAGGAGTTGCAGAGGTTCAACATGGCCTCCCAAACTATTCTGACCAACTGCATAGTGTATCTAGTGGCCCTGCTCAGAGAGCTGATGTTTAAAATATTACTTCCTGTGCCATCCATACAGCAGCTACCAGTGAGAAACCTGATCATAACACACATTATTAGATACATTTTAATTTTAGCATATTGCAAATTACATGTGTAATGTTTTCTTTTGCAGGCTCCATTGTCAAACATTGCTGAAGTGCAGAACAGCATCATGGATGAGCTGAACAATCTGACTTTTGTTAAGGATAACGCACAAAAGCTAATGGAACGCAAAGTCAGCTTCGAGAGACAACGAGACAGGAAAATACTTGTAAGAAACTCGAAATAACCTCAAACAGATTATTCACATCTAGAGAATAAAACATGTTATTCTGTAAAGATCTCACCGACTCCAGGTTAAAATGAAAGCTCCACATATTCCTTTGAGGCTCCAGCCAATTAAATGAGTATATGTAAGTTCTATTAAAGGCAGAGGTTGTGATTATGTGGAGCACTTGGCAACATAAAGCTCCACCAGGTATCTGTCCCCTTAGGTTTGGATATATATATGTATGTGTATGTGTATGTGTACATACACAGTATCAATACACATCTGTACATTTATTAAAGTGTATTTGTGCTTAGACCTGTGAACAGATTTATTTGAAACTCCTAGCCCTAGTAGTTTATTACCTTTCACCCTACCTAGAATAGTGCTATACACTGATAACCCACACAGACCAACATGTGCCCACACACCACAACCACTCCAAATATTTAAATAAACACTCCTTTGTGCTGTGCTGTTCTTCAGCTGCCAGAGGTGGAGCATCAAAGTGAGGAACAGCGTGCCTGGCTGCTGGCAGAATACCCAGTGAGTCGTTTGTACCAGCTAAAGAGGAAGTGCAATGGCTGCCAGGAACAGGACCTCAGCCTGCTGGAGGGAGAACTGGTGGCTCTGCTGGAGGACACAGACCCGTTAGGCAGCAGCAGTCGCTGGCTGGTTCACACCGGAGGCAAGTGTGTGTGTGAGTTTGTGTATGTATAAGGACAAAGACTCTCAGGGCAGAGGTAGCTCTTCACACATCCTTTAGTAAGACATACGGATGAATTAAGTTATCAAACTAGACCATCTGCAGGTATGGCCAATATAGGTCTCCTCTGTGAATATACAGTACCGGCCGTGTATTAGATGACTGAGGCTCTGTAGACACACCAAACTTTTCTTTCCGACACCGACAAGTCAGCACACAAGAATCAGTCCCAGGAGCTCCTCTGATGTCATGGTTGCTGGTACCTCTTTGCCTGCCTCTAGAGATGGTTGCCTCACAACAGGGCCAGCTCCATAGCTTGTCTCCATCTCCCTTCTACATCTCACAGCAGCACCTGAGATCCCAATGTCTCGTTTGGAACAAGCCGCTGTGTGTTTTAAGCAGTCTTACTTAGAGTACAAAGCTTTTCTGAATACCTCTGGGTATTCAAAAACAAGGATGGAGAGATGATGCTTGCATGTCTCTCTGTACTCTGCAATAACAAGTTCTTTTTTGTGAGCTCTAAAAAAAGTGTGTGTGTGTGTGTGTGTGTGTTACTTGGTATAAAGTACATTATTCACACACTTGTCTATTCCTCTGGGATTACAAGCATTCCCAGGAAGTTGTTGTTCATCCCTCTCCTGATCTGAAGACTATGAGTATGGTTGCCTCATATTTACACACTCTTCAGGTTGCTTACTCCTACTGGATTTAAGATTGTGCACGCAAATACTCTAGTTTATGCTTACGGCCCTAATGTAAGACAATTATGCTCATTTAGTCTGAGGTTTTGTTTTATTTATTTTAGTTTGAAGTTTTACTTTTGCCTATATTTTGTCAGTCATCCCTGAGATTTAGGCTGCAATATTGTGACTAGAACTTTGCTTGTGGTGCTTGAAGAACTGAAAAAAAAAACACATTTGAAAAACTAAAACAACTTGCTTTTTTAGAAACAGTATCCTGGTTACGTTTTGCAAACAGTGTTTACTAGAAGTATGTGTTACTGAAAAATGAGTTATGGTGTGTTTGGTGGATTATTCATTATTCAAATAACTGGACCGCATGTGGTGGAGGCAGGCATGACTAGATACCACTACCACTGTTTTGTAACCTTTAAATGTGGTCCAGAAGTCAGGTTTCCTGACAAACTGTCCCTGTGTGTCACTGTTAGGTACACAGGGCTATGTCTACTCCACATTCCTGAAGCAGTACAACCCTCTGAGGGACTCACAGCGAGCAGGACAGATGGCGAAAGAGCAGCAAAAGCAGCAGCAGCCACCTGCCATGGTGGATGAGGACTTTGACGACATCAGTCTGTTTGTGTCTGGGAGTGGCAGCAGTAGTCTGCGCAGCTTCAGCCTCAACACTGCTGACAGCAGCTCAACCCTCTCTGGCCTACAGGGGGAGCTGGAGAATCCTGAAGACTTGGAGGACACGCTAGACACAGAGGCTCAGCAGGTGTGTGTGTGTGTGGGGGGGGGCTGCCTGTGCTTTTCTGAACCACTCGTGCACCATATGGATGTCATTTTAAGATACTAGACTACTTAAAAAGTCCTGGGTCACATCAGTTGAATTTCCATCTTGAAAAAAGTTAAGGTCACAAAGATTAATGTCCTTCCCAAGTGCAGAATAAATGTGCCTCGATCATATCACACATGTGTGTGTACAGACAAACACTTTCAAACTGTACCAAGCAGTATCAGAAATTCCAGGAAAAAAAACCCACAACTGAAACACAACAAACTAAACACCACATTACCCTCATAATGACAGGTAATGACAACAAAGGTCAGGCTAACCATATCATTTTAATTGGGCTTTCAAATGGCCATGAGTACATCCTCACAAAAAAGGGTCCACCTATAAAATATGAGAGCTATTACAGAATGAAATGAAACCATGTATACCATAAATATCATATATAGACCAGATCATCACAGGATCTGTTGTGACAAAAGCATATCTGATAGCTTTACAGTGTTTCTGCCTGACTTGAATTAATATTAAATGAGCTGACCAAAATACCATTGCCACTCAGGGCTTCACACTTTGTTTTCCTTGAGGTCATGTTTTCATTTATTATGACACAATATGCCTCTGATCTTCTGCATAACATGCAACAGTCATTGGTATAAAATATAAAGAGCTGAGCAGGGTCTGTAAATTGTAACCAGTGAAAATTAGGAGTGTGTCTTTGTAAAAAGCTAATAAACAGTGCCACCTTCTGGATTCACAGGATGATAGTCTGCACTTTAACTGCATTTAATGTTGTTAATTCAGTTTAATATTTGCCTTTGTTAGGTTTAACTGTTTCATAATAGCACTGAAATAAACAAAGCTACTCAGACATTTTTTTATACCTCCGATTGCATCTGACTTGTGTCTGTTTCCACAGTTTTATGCCGTCTATGCATTTCAAGCCCGCTGTGACCAGGAGCTGACTTTGCAGGAGTACCAGCATGTACGCATCATCCAGTTTTGTGACCTGGGAGGCAATAAAGAGTGGTGGTTAGCTGAGGCTAACGGACAGAGGGGATATGTCCCTGCCAACTACCTTGGTAGAATGTCCTATGCATAGTTAAAGAGCCTTTATCTATCCAGAACTTACCTGTGGCATTTTCAAAAAACCCATTCATTTCTTAATACACAATTGAAGGCATCCTGACTTTAAAACAAATAATATCTCTGCTTTGTGAATGTCACTATAGCTGTTACTGTATTATTAGATCTCATACCAAAAGTGTTGACAATGAAATTACTTTACCTTCACGAAAGAGATCCCCAATGGGACTTGACCAATAATCTGTGAGGAATATGGGAACCAGGAGAATACTGGGCACTGTGCTGAGCACTTTCTGTACTTCAGTGTTGAGTTTATATTCATAATGAAGTGATTTATTAATGAAGTAAATTTTATATGTGACCTGATTATAGATGAAGTAAATGTTATACGTGAAATGATTTATAGATGAAGTAAATGTTATGTGAACTGAATTATATGCTAAGTATATATTTTATGTGAATGTTAAATGAAGAAATCTATAGTGTCATTTATATTTTAACAATTATGTCAAGAATAAACATGTCCTCTATGATAACTATTGTGACCCATGCTCTGCTTCTCCTGCAGATTATAATGATTCAAGGACACCAAATGCTACAAAGTCTTTGCTACTGTCAGTTTTTAGAAAGAGGAGATTTAATAACGGTCGTTGATAAAAAGTGACAGTCACTTTTTCAATAGTTAGAATTGTTAGGACAGAACCAGGCACACAACAGAGTCCAGCAGCATTTATACAAAGTAAGATTCAAGTATTCGATGAGATGGTGTTACTCCACGTACAGATGCTCTCATGTAATACAAACTGTGTTATGGCACTAATTTCACACCGTCTAAGTACTTATTTTCTACTCCCTCAGAGCTTCTTCTGCTCTTTGTTTCTATTTCTACTCATTTCTTCATTTTCTTCTGTGCTGCTTTCTTCTTCACCAGCTGTAACCGTTTCATGGCGTTAAGTTGAGACTCTTGAGATGTTGGTGCTTTGTCTCCCAGTACAACCTTTGACCCATTCCCATTGTTCCCGTTACTCCCTCCGTTACTGCCTCCGTTCCCTCCTGCAATTGCCTGGGAGCTGCTGGGGGAGCTGGCCCCTGATGATGCAGAGCCTTTTCCTTGGTTTTCACCACTCGATGAACGGTTCAGTGGCTGCTTACCGAGAGTCAGGGGTGGAGGAGGTTTCAGAGGTACCTGGCTGGAGCCGTTTCCATTTCCTCCCCCGGGTAACTTTGCACCCCCTAGTCCTGACTTGGTTCCAGCTAGCCCAGAGAGCCCAACAGGTTTCTGGCCAGAGGAAGTTGTTAAGGTCTTGTTGTTCCCACTTGGTCCCGAGGAACCCATTTTTGAACTGGCAGGAAGAGAAGGGCTCGTCTTGGCTCCAAATGCAGCCCAGCCTGTAAGACCACTGCCTGAGGAGGAGGAGCTGCTGTTGGTGGGGTTGGCTGATGTTGTGGATGCCTGCAGAAAATCAAAAACAGCTATAATACCGCAACTGTCAGAGTGCAACACCAATTCAACAGATATTTTAATTATCATGCTTAAAGTTTTTGAAAACTGAGAGCACAGGATGAAACCACAATTTCACCAACAAATTTCATGTATTCATTAAGGCAATTAATTTGATAAAGCCTACACAACTGTCAATGTGATTGTGTGTTGAAAGGACAAACACTAAGTTTCCAGTTGCACTAGGCCTTTATCAAGATTAAGGTTTAATTCTGTCGCATTTCAAAAATAATGTAAACAATCAAAGTACATATTTTGGTGTTAACTGAAACTCATTAACCACCTTAAAGCAAGAGGGATCATCCACCTTTAGATGAATTACCATATGTAATGTTCAGTATATTACCTGATGTAACTGGTTCTTTAACTTTGGTGTAACCATCTCCCTTGAGGTTTCAAGACCTACTACTATATCAGGTCCCACATTGAACCATCATAAAAGGAGTTTGACCTTTTGCTTTAAATCAAAATGTGTCTGTATATGTATTAGTAAGGTTAGCTGGCCACTCAGTATAGGAATACAGCATTAAATGAGGAATAGGACCCAGAAAAGCAAGAAGTGGTTATTAGCAACACTTAGAGCTAAGATATCCCCAGAACTCACTGTAAAAGGTCAACATAATCAGATTCCTTACCTATTAGCAGGAACCACCATTAAAAAAGTTAATACATACCTTCACCTCTGTTCTTTTGAAGGCTTGGAAGGTGCTGGCTGTGTCAGGTTTGGATTTAAGTTCTGTCTTTTTCACCAGTGTGTCTTTCACAACAGGGACTGATGATGCAGATGCAGGGGATGGCTTCTGTGGAGGTTTCTGGGCCTAGCAGACAAACACATTTTAGACAGAATCAACACCGGCGCTATTAACAAGACTTTGCACTCATCAGAAACCTAGTCAGTAGTGACATGCTACAATTAATTGCAAAGTCGATACTGAATTTATTTTCCTTACCATGCGTTTCATTTGCCTAGTGCATCGGGCACAATACCACACAAGCCGTGGGTCATTAACGTCTTTGTCTGTCACCTGGGGCTTGTGGCAGTCCTGATGGTACAGATTATGGCACTCCTGGCACTCAACCAACTGGTTTCCCATAGTCACTGTCATTTGTCTTAGGTAATGAAAAACACAACAAGAAAGTGAACATGTAGATAGAACACATGTTGGGTTAGTCATCAAGTTGAATTCCTAGGCTTGAAGACTGAATAAATTAATATTAATAAATGAAATGAAATATGCAGTGATATTCTAAACCCATCCATATGGACAATGATGTTTTCTTTTTTCCATTAATATTTAATATGTACCTGCAAACCACACAGGCCAGGCCCATTTCCATGGCAAAATCATCAGCATTGGTCTCATCATAGTCATTTAGGTTTGACAGGAGGTCTTTGCTTGTTTGAACGGTAATTGGTGAAGAACGATTCTCCTGTTTCTCCAAACGAGGTTTTTTTGGTGGGTCAACCTCCCCCAAGTCAACTCTGAGCTGTTTGCCAGTTAAGATAAAAAAAGGGTTAGTTTTACTTCATAAAAGAAACACGTGTTCACAGCACTGAAACACAGCTGACAAATCCAATGTATAACATATTTCTGTGTGGCTCTGAATTAATTTAATTTATTTAGGAGTGTCCATTTCCACCTGTAGTGGATGAATGACACACCTTTGTGTTAAAACAGAGGTATACTTTAAGAGCTTTCTGAACATGAGACTAATTTTATTTATCATTTATCCCATACCTTCTCAGAGGGTCTCTTTTCTCCCTCTTTCTTGCACTTTTCTGTGCTGGATTTGCTACTGCCACTGCTGCTGCTGGAGGATGAGGAACTTGAGGAGGACTTGGAGTCCTGTTTGCTTAAGATCAGTTTTGACACAGACCCCTTGGACACTTCTATATCCTGAGGATACACAATAATAATAATACAGAAACTCTTAGCATTTAGTTGTATAAATTACATGCCAATAAAACAGAAAGGCTCCGTCAACATAAATATGAGAAAAGCTTCATACTTTTTGTGATGAACGATAAGATGAGTCACTTCCTCTTGCGAGGGACTCATCTAGTAAAGCTTTGAGTTTATCAGCTGAGTCTTTACTCTTGGAGTGCAGGTAACTCAGTCCCTTTAGGAAGATGGGATCCAACTCCAGACTGACAGGTCCAGCCATGGCTTACACACTGGGAATCATAAAACAATGCCAGTTTATTAGGCTTCTATTACAACTTTATCAAATACTATTATTACAGATTAAATGACATGTTAAAATAAAAGTCTTCACTGATTCTTTTCAAAGCCTTAATGTCTACACATCTTTGTAACAGTGTAAATACAAGGTGTCTTGCATCTACTGCATCCTAGCAGGAAGCATTTTGGTACTTGATATTCAGGTTTTTCCTCACATTCAGGTGTATTAACCCACTACGTTTGATTGTTAAAATTAAATAAAAAAAAACATGTTTCATTTTACATGTAACAATTAAGAGGACTTAAATATTCATCGGTAACCGTCTCTCTGTTTATTTTCAGTGAAGCCTGACCCTAGTTTGCCTCGAGCTTACATGTTTGAGACCTATCATCATTAATAATTACACGAGGTGACATATTAGACACAATGACACACAACAGAGTGAGAGAAGAAGAGTAGAGAAAAAACAGACCACAGAAAAAAACTCTCAAGAGAAGGAAAGACACTGAAGGTCGACTAAGTTAATTTGTTCGCTGTATAACGTTATTAACCTGTTCGAACCACCAGACACATAGAGGACAGTAACTAATAGCTTCACACTGGCAAAACTGACCTTTCCTGGAAGCTGTCAGCCAAATTAACAAAATATAAGATCGACCTGGTTATATTACCTCTCTCTTCTTCTGGCGAAATCCTGCCCCTTAAAATGGTATTTTCGCTTTGGTATGGAACTGACGGCTGAGAAACACTTCCTATATAAGAAGACCGGAGCAGAGAAGACAAACCTGTGTAGCCGTTAAATATGTCCGGAATTTACACTCACGGAACCTTGTGTAGACATTAGGTTTTATTGGAGAATTTTAATTAACGTCGCTCTCTATATTCACAATTTAATTACACTTATCGCGTATATGTTTTGTGTAATATGTGCTTTTTAATATGCTGTGTATTTCCTCTAGTAGCGACTAGTCATTTTTGAGTCGACTGACAGCTGATGGCGCTATGGAGCAATCTTCTTAGATTCAGAACAGCAAAAGAAGATTGTAAGGAAGTGTGCGCCATACCAGCGTGGTTTTGCCGCAATTGTCGGGGTAAATTATCTTATTTCTAAAGCAGTTGTGAGTATTCATTAATGTCATGTTCCCCACCGGATTAAAATTGTATTTTAGCTTAGATCTGTGTCTTTACCGCCACCCTCTAAAAGGCACACGAATACATTTCCAAAGCTAGTTAACTGTTTGCCAACTTCCTTCCAACAGTATTATTTACAATGAATCACTCGGACGAAAAGCATCAGTATTCATCGCTTTACTTAGAAGTTTGTTCCCGAAATGAAGAGCCTCGTCTCCCACTGCACACCTCCATCGTCCTGTTTCTTCTGTCCTACTGTGAGTGCAAGTCTTTCAAAGTTTTCCTGGTCTCCACCAAACCAGCGAGCTCCCAGTCACTGAAGAGTCAGCTGCCGGAGTCTCTGGATGTGTCTGATACTCATTTGGAGTTTTTGCCCCAGCTGGTGAGGGGTTGCCGTCTCCCTGCTGTTTTGGATGAAACAGGACAGCTGTGCAGGGCAGGACTGGCAGTGGTCCTGAGACATATCATTAACAAGACCTTAGAGGCTGATCCATCTAGAAATGATGTGCTGGCATTGCTGGGCTTCAAGAAAACCTGTCTGAAGGCCTGTGCTGAGGTTAGTGGAAAGTGTTGAAACAAAATTCCAGTATACATGAAAGAAATAGAAAGTGCCTGAATTATTTCACTGACACTACGACTGATGCTTGATAGCACAATTTCACCTACTTGAAAGTTGCATAGGGAATTACAGGATCTTTTAAAGGGTCAAAACTTATCAAGAACAACCTTATTGTGAGATCTATGGTTTCAGATTTAATAAAGTCACGTATAACCCTGGGAGTTTCGACTCTAATTTGACATCAATCACCGTGGACAGGTGCAGTTTGGGGTTCAAACTGTGTCAGCATCACTGTTGCGAATACAGATACATACATATTGATATAAAGTAAACCTGAACATGATATTTAAAAAAAAAAAAAACCTTTCTCCTCAAATAGGAAACTGTTCATGCTGATTTAGTGTACACAGTGGCATAATGTGATTACATCAGTGTGAGCCTGTCAAAATTTCATTATCACTATATTTTATGGGTTTCGACATTACCTAAGAAGAAACTGATATGCAAATGTAAATTCATCAGAATTTTCTGATGAGGGATATATAATTTGTTTGTAATCATTGGGGAAATTAAGAGGTTCCAATTAGTAGTCTTCCATATAATTAATTTTGAATCTTAATTACATGAATAACCTTGTATTTCTAGGCAGTACACAGCAGCCTAGATGGAAACATCCAAACTTTGCCTACAGCTAGAGTACTGTGCAAAAGTTTTAGGCCACCATAAGATTTGTTGTTTAGCAATGCTATGATGACGGTATCTATTTGCTTCGTAATACAACTACAAAATATAGGAAATAGGCACAGAGTATTAAAAAACAAAAATATCAGCAAACAGGATACTCAAGATTTGGTATCAAGCTGTTCTAAAGAAATATGAAGAATCCGGAGAGGTCATGAAAAAAAAACAGGAGTGGAAGACCAAGAAAACTGAAAATCTGATGAGAGGTTTGTCAGTATCTGGCAGCTTCATCTGGATGCCAAGTTGGTTCTTCCACAGTCTGAAGAAGCTTAATCAGGAACGATGTTTGTTAAAGGACAGCAGCCAAGAAACCACTTTTTTAGAAGGGGGAGGGAGAAAAGGCTGAGACATGCAAAAGCTCACAAAGACTGGAGTGAAGATCAGTGGAAAAGAGTCTTATGAGTGATGAATCGAAGTTTGAAATTTTCAGTCGTTGGCAGTATGTGAAAAGAAGAGTTGGATGAAGGTGGAAGAATGAGTGTAGCAGCCTTCAGTGAAACATGGTGGAAGGTCTGTCATGGTTTCAAGATAGTCTCCCAGAAGAATTCAAGCTGTGCTAAGTGCAAAGGGAGGCGACACTGAATACTGACTTTGGACTGTAGAAGCCATTTTGTGTTTTAATACTGTGTACATATGTCCTGTATTTTCTGGTTATATTTTAATAAAGAGACTGAGAAATAAATATCAATTATCATTAAAACCTTGATAAAACACTGAAGCTACAAAACTGATAGTGGCCTAGTACTTTTCCAAGGTTCTGTACCTGTCCAGTGTTGAATTGTATGTATATATTCCATCATCTATGAAGAACTTTGAGTTTCAGAGTAGCAATTAAAATGGGAATTTACTTCAGGCTATAAATTCAGTACATAGAACTAAAATTGGATAAGCACCTCACAACTTTAGTTCCATATTATATAATTACTAACCAGAAACTTTCTAACAAGGAAAATATGGTCCTTTCAAATAAAGCATTACCAGTTTTACCACTGCCATGTTGTTCAGTTGATTGTGAGTTTCCAGTGATTCTCTATTCTGTAATAATACATTGGCTGATGAAATTTCAAGCCCCTAGTAGTTAAATTGATCTTTTTTCACATAATCTGGCAAAGTTTTAGTTTTGATTTTTACCTTACTATAACGACCACATAATGTTACCAAGGTTGACGGATTTTGTTTTTGTCACAGCACATTAATTGGATTTTGGTCAAAGTGTCAGCAATGTTATACTGAGACATCCATCAGTATAACATATCACACAAACAGTTAACCAGTGTCTATCAATTATGAGCTGGAGTTGACCTAAAAAAATCTTTTAACATTCTTTTTTTGTTTCCCTCTTTGCTCTCAGGTGAGCAAGTGGACCAGGCTGTGTGAAATTGACATCCCCTCTGCTGTTGAAAAACACCTCCAAAATTCCACACATCAGTATCAGCACCCGCCTCCCTCCATCCTCACCCTCGAGCGAAGGCTAGCGGAGCCTGTCAAAGTCCACAATGATGACAAAATACGGCGGCAGAAACTCCAAGAGCAGAGACGGAATGAAGAGGACAAGTCCAGTGAAGGAAAACAGCATGTGGACACAGAGTCTAAAGCTGCACAGTCGCCTCAAGTCTATGATGGACTTGAGCTCAGAGCTGCTTTGGCAAAGCTGTCTGTGAATTCAGTTCCAGCTTTGACCACTAGAGAGAACTCTGAGATCAGGAAAGTGAAGACCACAGACCTGCCTCTGCTGGAGCATGTGTTTGCCGAAGGGCTGTACTTCACTCTGACTGATGTGGTGCTACTGCCATGCATCTATCAGTACCTGGTAAGGGCCTAGGAGTTGATAATTTATGTTTGAGAGTGTTGTCAGTAATGAACCCTTGTGGCTAAGGACCCTGTTCTTATTACTACATACTTATTGCCTAATTTGGATCATGAATATTTGTCAAATGCTCATTTATTTTTAATTTCTCCTCTAATAATCCTTGTGTTTTCATTGCTGTGGCACACTGTGAGCTTTCCAAAACCTTAATGTCATCAAAATGCCTATATCTGTGCCCTGAGCAATCAAGTGAAGCCAAGCAAGACTTTCTCTCACAACATAAGAAGTAACATGCATGACTTAGGTCAGATGTCACCAAATAGACAGTTCCATTCAGACTACAGAACACCCATTACTTGAATCCATTGGCTTTAAAATGCCTTTATTATGATGACTTGTCAAATTATGCATGACTTATGGTTTTGACACTCTGGGCAGAGTGAGCTGACAGTATACCCAGCTCCTTTCAGACTCATCGAGGCAGAAACTCGAGTTGAGAGGACTCACTGAATCAGGCTTGGCACAGGTTTTGCTCTCAAAGGTGGTCTGGAGCCACCTGGTTAAAAGTGATAACAGTATATGGCAGGGTTTCTGTTTAAATGCAGCAGGTTAAAATGCATTTCAATGACTTTAATTTGGGAACACTTTTCTCTTTGCAACATATCAAGACTTTGTGGGTTGTTAACACTCTTGACTTCAAAATATTTTCTGCATGACTTAAAAAGTTCACGATCATCTGAATATTTGTTACACACAATGATTGCATATTTTACAAGTGTAGTCGGTACTGGTAATTTTAAAGTAAGATCAGAGAATGTACCATGGCTGTCTAGTTCAGTGGTATATTGTTATTGATCAGGAATACTGCACTGTCAGGCAGTGAAGTGGGTCTCAACCTTCATTTCACCCTTCAGCTGTCTCCCAGCTATTCCTCAACTGTGGGAATGAACTCAGGTTCTCACAATGAGGCTTTTAGTAGTCAGCTGTGCTTCAGTGGTTTCCAGTTTCACACTCAGCCTAGCGTGTCTCCTCTTAACGGCCATCACTGTCCGTGACACATGCAGCCATGGCAGATCCTTTCCACTCCACCCGCCTTGCCGTAATATAATGTGCCCCATTCTCTGTCCATGTCCTTTTTCTTTCTTTCTTTCTTTTTTATTTACTTGTGTTCTCTGCACAACAGTGATACTGCTTCTCAGATGGTGTCTCTGTTTGTGTCTTTACTCTCTACCTACCAATGTTGTTTTGATGTGTTTCCTACCAGCCTCTCGTGTGTCTGTTCACCAGTGTGATGAATAAATTCTAGTGGAAGCTGACATCTTGCTGACTCTCGCTTCACTGGAAATAACACATCAGATGAGTCACTTAATCAATATCTTTTCTTCACTCTTTCATATCTTTTATTGTCTTTGATAGTGTTCCCTCCAAGTTCACGCTGCGAGCACTCTACATCAGCTCCCCTGCCTGCTGCGTTGGTACAGCCATGTTCAGGAGGTACCTGGGGTCCTTCGGGCAGCCAAAACCTGTGGGATGGCTCTTTCTGTCCCCCAGTTTCCCACAGTCAGTCTACCAGGGACATCAGCAGAGGACAACTCAGCTAGTATACTGGAGCAAGAAGAAAACCAAGAGATGATCTCACAGTCTCCATTTGTTGGTGGTCCCAGGCCCACAATGACTAAACTCAAAGTAAATGGTTACTTTTCTTTACTTATTTCTCATCACGCCTTGCCTCTGTGTGCTCTCCAAACACATTTTATTATAACACACACATACAAATGGGAGACAAATGAAAGGAAAACCAACGTAAAGTGTCTTAGTAAGGTGTTGGACTACCACATGCCACCAGAACAGCTTCAGTGGCATTGATTCTAAAAGTGTCTGAACTCTACTGGAAGGACGAATATCTTTTTTCCCCCCAAATTATTCCCTCATATTGTGTTTTGATGATGGTGGTGCAGATGCTGTCTAACATGTCGGTCCAATATCCCCCATAGCTGTTCAACTGGGTTGAGATATGTCAATTGTGAAGGCCATAGCATATGTTTCACATCATTTTCATAATCATCAATGCATTCAGTGACCCCTTGTTCTCTGAAGATAGGGACATTGTCATTGTTGAAGAGAGCACTGATTTATTCAGGTGTTTAATTTGTCACCCATCTGTACACACTGTAGTCTATAAATTTAAGGAGCTTTCTTCCAGTGTCCCATCATAGTACTGGACCTGCAACTAGTTGTTAACCATGATCCCTGTAATTTCATGGACTCATTTTCTGCTGATTGTGCCTACAATGAGTGTAAGTTAATGTTTTGGCTTCTGGGAGACTTTCTTAACAGTTTTTCATCTTTCTGCCAGCGCTTTAACATCAAGTACTTTTAGTAACAGGATTAACATTTCAAGTGAGCTGTTTTAGGATGCTTGTCGATATGCATAATGTTCTTCTGACATACTGTATGTTATCTGTATGTCAGTATAGTTATCATTCTAGACACAAAAGTAACTTTTCCTAAAAAAAAAAAAAAAAAAAGCAAAAACAGAATCTAGCTATAAGAACAGTACTTTAGTGCCCCCGGTGCATTATAAAATGTTCCTTCACTTGTTGCCACTTGTAATAGTGCAGACAGTGCCTTTTCAGGCACAATAAAAACAATGAATCCAGTCCAAAACAATACAAAATTATATAGCCAAACCAAGTAGTTTTGGTAATGGCTGAAAATCTTAGTGTGAAGAGATAAGACAGCACACAATAGTAGCATAATGTGTCCACACTGTTAAGATGCAGTTCCCTCAGGAAACACTGGCACGAAACAAACACATTCACATACATTTATTGCTTTCTTAGCTCCATAGCACAGTA